AATTTTTTATAAAGATAATAATTAAATATTCTATTAGATTTCAATGATTATCTTAATTATATTTTAGATTTTTTATATTTAAAATGAGATGTTTATCCAATATTTGATTATGTTTATCCGCAGTTAGTTACATGAATTCAAATATGAATCTTTAATAAGTTGTACTTATGCACAATTTACTTGTAATCTTAAATTTTAAGTAATATGCATCAATAAACAGTACTTCGTGCATAAAATATGGTCTTTAAGAGTTTTTGTCAAATACTTTATAATATAGTATAAATATATAATATATGTGTGTGTATATCACTTTGTAAGTAGTTAATTTTTTTATTTAAACTTGTAAGTTATTATATGTCCAAGACACGTGTTACATAGGGATATTACTGAGGAGTATGTAAACCTATAAAGTCGTACACAAAGAATACGTTGGCTTCAATTTATAGAAACACGGATTAAGTCACGTTGATTGTGGATATAATTATTCTACGTTACGATCAAACTTTTTTGATGTGTCTAGATAAGTTTTCATAAATTTTTATTCCACTTAGTTACGTTTTGTTTTTTCTTTCCGTTTAGCTACGTGTTTTTTATTATTATTTTTATTTCTGCCTAGCGAAGATTAAGCTTTGTGTTTATTTGTGTTGTATAATTATTATTTTTTTGATTAACCTGGATATCCAACCCGCTGTACGAGCCGACAAATCTCAGGGCGACCACCTATTTTACAGATAGCCCGGAATCACCGCATTTGAACCTCCGTGGCCATAAGGGGATTTGCATTCCTCCTTGGATTTGAACCTCGGACCTCTAGGTACTTTTGACCTTTGGAGCCAAGCTTAAACCAATCAGGCACCACCCTTGTGGTTAGTGTTGTATAATTATTGTTGTGTTTATTTGTTGAATAATTATTGTTGTGTTTGTTTGTTAGTGAATTTGTCATTAAAAAACAAAAAACCATATTCCTTGTTAATCATATTCCTTGTTTTGTTTTATCCTAGAATTTAAGTGTTTAAATTTTTACTGTTTTATCCCTTAGTGTTGTTTAATCAGTATTTGTTCTTTATCTCTTCGTCTTATTAATGTCTGTTTCTTTCTTTGTTTTTGCTGTATTTTATTTCCTTATAAAAAATATAAAAATTTAAAAACTGAAAAACAAAAAATTGGATTATCTTGGTCTTGAACTCTTAGTTCCAAACAAAAGATCTGTTTTATTAGCAGATAAAAATAAGCTCAAGTGTAATTTCGAAAAAGATCACCAGCACAGTTTTTCTTCTTCAGGACCTGTTCAAAATACTATTTTAAACTTGTTGATTAATTCTGCTGAGAATTTTGAAAAAGGACTTGTTTTGCCTCGAATAAACCATTTTGGTTTTAAACAACGAAATCTGTAACACCCCCAAACTCACATTGCATATAACACATATTTCATTCACATAATACATTTCAAGCCCACAAAGGTCCATAGTACAAGAAGCCATAATACAAAATACACAACTCAAAAATTTTAAAATACATGCTCTTGTATCTATAACATCTATCCTCCAAAACATAACCAAATATGATCTTCATATAGCTAAGCATATAGGGAAATAATTCACATTTTCCCTTTTTCTTTACCATCACTATAATCTGCATTTCCTGCAACACATATTTGAAAACACAAAATAAAGGTTAGACTTAGAGGTCTAGTGAGATTCCCTTTTTTCATGTAATTGCAGGGTGAATATCATCAAAACATCATTCGAATAAAATCATTTTACATAATGAAGTATAAATCTACACTCTGTTTATGTCTATCGGACCTCTGGTTCCAAAGAC